TCCAGTTTGGGGGGATCTGTTATCTTCTGACTACAGGTTACTACATGAATATAGTAGAGATATATACAGGAACACACACAGGAAGATAAAATTAAACAAATCAAAACTTGTAAATTTTTCAATTAAAATTTAAAGTGGACTATATACAATCTCCTTAAACTACTTTTAGAGAATTTTTAAAAATCATTTTTGGATATTTATAAAAGCATTTAAGTAAGAGTCTCTTAGAAGCTCATTTTGCTAGATGGTATTAATCTCTAACTTGAACATACAAGGAAACTCAGTTTGGGATGAAAGCCTGCCTGCCTTCAGTTTGTGTTCTCCTTTGGTTAAAGAAACAGAAATAATTATTGTTCCCAACCTTGAATAATCTTGAATTTCTGGGAGAGAAAAATATCACATTACAGACCCAATAATGAAAACAACTGTCCCTGAAGGTAAGAATCTATCCTTAAGAATCAATTTGTCTGAGAAAATGATGGGACATTAACAGTGGAACCACAACTTGACAAAGACTCCTTAACACACACGTGCGCACACACACACATGAGTGTGTGTGCGTGCGCATGAGTGTGTGCATGCACATGTGTGCATGTGTATGTGTGCTGTTGTCTATTTAAACCCAAACTTTCTCTTCCCAGTGTGACCTCACTAAGTCTTTCTCTGCTTTGTAGCATTTCTCATAACTAGCAGAATGGGACAGGTGGCCCAACAAGCTTTTTGGGGAGTCTGAAGACCAAGTTTTATGCTAAACAGCGTGGTAACTGCTTTGTGATTTGAAGTGTTAATAAGTCTTCTCCAAGCAAAGTGCTACTGTTGGTGCTTTTAAACACTATCTGCATTTTTTTTCACACAAAAGGTACTAAAATAGATTTTTACATGGGATATGTTATACACAGAAGTTAAGTGCACTTTGGACATATTCTATTTCCACAGGTTAAAAACATACAAAATGAAATTCATATCTAGTTAAAATATGATGTCGACAGGGGCTATGCTACTTAAAGTATACCCTGAAAAATTTAACATGAGCCTCCCCCTCCAGCAGCTCCCTGTCCAAGAGGACACAGGTTGTCTTCTACCACGGGTCTCTGACACTATGGATGCTCTGGACACCAACAGCTGTCATATTGGCTTTCTTCGCTGCATCAGCCTGAAGCTTTAGTGAGGCAGGGATTGCCGACAGTCACTTACATTCAGGTTTAAGTAATTTCCCTATGCTATTCACTGTGATAATTGCCAGAGTTTACTCACTTGTACATTGCATGACATTAACACATGCAGCGCCAAAGATTTGTAATGATGTAATGGCTTTCTGTGTTAGTGTTATTTATCAGAAAATGGGGCTGGTTGGAATGTGAGGTGGGTGAAAGCAGACACTCTCTTTTAAGGATTCAATCTAGATCTAATGTGTGACAAATACTCCAAGTTTAGCATCATCACCGTTATTTATAGGTCATAATGTGGATTCTATAACTGTCATGTGTCTATTTTTTCCTGGGTACGAATTATTTAATTTAAAGATACTCTTTGGCAGGTTTATCCATCTTCCTCGTGTGTGTGCATATGTGTTTAGGTGTAGTTTGTTTTTTTTTTTTTTTTTTTTTTTTGCATCTTAGAATTCCTCGGGAAGCATGAGTGAGGGACAAGAGTGCAGACAAATGACTAGGGACACGAATAAGGCAAAGTGTCACAAATTCCTATGCTACAGCAAAAATATACTTGACTCTGAATTTTGAAGCAGACAGTAAAATAAGATAGGATACAACTGCCAAAGTTGGCAGGAGATATAAAATGGATGTCTGTATGTTGTCTGAGACTCTTTGATGGACTGCTAACACTAGCAAAGACTTTGTTACTGGCAGTAAATGCTGAATTGGCTAGTTAGAAGGGTCTGTTTCACTAAGGTTGCTCATGAATAGACAGCATTCAGTTTTTGGTACAATTGTTTTTGAACTTGCTTCTTTATACCTCTTCTTCCACTTGAGTCTTTAAGGCAGAAACTTCATAATTTTTAAAACTTTCATCTTGAGTAATACTTGAGTTTCCAACACCCTTCCCTATCTTTCTGCTGCTGGGTTACTGGTTCTGCTCTAAGCTCAGTGTAATGCGCTGTCTTTGACCTGTGGTGACTTCTGCCACTCAGGAGATTGTCACCCAAATGGGATAAGGGAAACTTTACTGATTTGTAATATTTATTCCTTGGTAAGGAGATAATAAAAAGGTAACAGTTCTTTTAGAAGTTGAGACATTTTAAAGAAAGTTACATTATTTTATGTTTGAATAAATTCCAAGATGGAATATTAATGAGAAACTTTTGTACCCAAAAGCAAGAACAGGAACTGAAGTATCACTTAAAACCATTCTATCCAATACAAAGTCCTTAATCACACTGACTAAGTTGATTAAACCAAACCAAGATTCAATCCTTCCTTTTAACTACCATCATTTCAAATGCTCAAAATTAAAACGTGATCTTTAACCAACCCAGTGGACATCATCAGTAACGAAAACATCTGACATCTTCTCCAGCCACGCTGCACAGCTCGAACACAGAACTCCATTGTCAAAATGCCCTTGACAAGCAGAGGACTCTAGGATGGGGCTAACTCACTGGTCCCCAAAGGAACAAGTGTTCTCACATAGTCAAGAGTAGATATAATCCAGTAAGTAAACTAAAAGAACAGCAAAGTATTTCTTATATTGTTCAATTACGCATTAGTCTTCTTTACATGGTGAACTAAACCACCTACCGGGTGTTAAGAATAAACAATTACATTCTTATGAAGTTATACCTTTACTAAAGTTCATAGACTTCATATGTGTTAAGTTTCTCACTTACATTCTCAAGAAAATTTCTGTGTAAATGACATAAAAAACATAGATGCTTGAATTGTTTGGTGTAAAGTAACTGTAGCTACCCATGGTCTTATGTAAGAGAAATATTTTTATATATTAGCATATATTTACTGTGCAAAGAATGTGGTTTTTCATTTCTTCACTAAGTCACTATTCAAAGTAAAATAAAATATCAAAGCAATAGTAACATTTACAAGCAGAAACTAAATACTCTTGTTACTTCCAAAGACAGGCAAGAACAAACAAATGCATACTCTTACAAATAACCAACTTTATTTGAAAGGTTTCTTATAACTAATAACTTTATCACAGTAATTCTTAAGTACCATACTGATGCCTACAAATGTGATAAACCCATTTTTATTTGACCCTTTACTACACAAGGAAAATTCAAAATAGAAGACAAAGGAATTCTATAGAGCCCCTAAACATCACCTGCATCATACACATTTTGGGTTGCTCTTTTCCTTTTGTCAATTGCCACTTGAATCCCCTTTAGATGTCTACCCACAGATCCATGTCTGTGAATCTCTATAAAGTCTCCAAATACATACTCCGAAACTGATCACCTTTCACTCTTTTGTGTGTTCCCACTAATGAATGAATTTGTATGTGCCACAGATAATGATGTACCTATAGAGGAAAGAGGGCAGCTTCTTTTTATAGGGGCGTGTTCTATTCTCCTGCTGTGGGTTCTAGAGATCAAGTTCAGATAGTCATGACTGTGATATTCATGTGTTTTCACCGAGCCTCTCACTGTGTTGACTTTGACTTCTGATACAATAAAAGATTAAAACATGAAAAAGTGGAGAAAGAATTATTCCGTATGGGATTAGCTAAAAGAAGTGAAATTCTAGGCTTTTAAGTGATATTACTTATCCTTTAAGAACATCAAACAATATATTTTGTAACATTCTTTTCCTTCCCGTAACTTCTCCCAGGCCCTTTCTCACCTATGGCCCAGTCAACTCTTTCTGTCTCTTAAAACTCTCTCTCTCTCTCTCTCTCTCTCTCTCTCTCTCTCTCTCTCTCTCACACACACACACACACACACACACACACACACACACACACACACACGAACACACAAACACATACATAACAGAGTCCAACTTGTATTGGTCAAATACTTTTGAGAATGTCACCTACACTGAAGAGTGGTTGATATATCCAATGTCATGCCACTGAAGAAAACTTGATATATTTTATATTAAATGTTCTATATTGGTTGAAAACATGAACTTTACCTCCATCTCCCTCCATCGCCAGATGAGGGTTCTATGGTGATATGCAAAATGTTCATCAGTATGGTTGTGGGTCAAGGCCGGTTCAGGCACCCTCTCCTCTGTCCAGAGAACAATCTGGGGATCTCTCCTTGGACCTGGGATCCCCTTTATACTCAAGTCTCTTGTAAACCCTAAAATGACTCCCGTCGAAACACTGTACCTAGCTCCCTAGGTCCAAACAGGAGGCAGAAGGAAGGAGAACGTGAACAAAGAGGGCAAGAGCAGAGAAAACCTTCATCCGACGTTGGATGGCGCTACAGACGGAGACCCACATTGGAGCACCGGACGGAACCCTCCACGGTCCAAATGAGGAGCAGAAGGATGAAGAAAATGAAAAAAGAAATCAGGACTGCGACGGGTGCCATCACCCACTGATACAAGGAGACTGATCTAATGAGAGTTCACCAAGGCCAGCTGGACTGGAACTAATGAACACGTGATCTAACCAGATTCTCTGAATGTGGCCGGATTCTCTGGATGTGGCTGGCCTGGAGTCTTTCTGAAAAGCCATTGACAATGACACTGGGACTTGTTTCCTCTGCATATACTGGATTTTTGGGATCCAGTCTGTTTGGATACTCACCTTCCTGGACCTGGAGGGAGCAGGGAGGAACTTGAACTTCCCACAGGGCAGGAAACCCTGACTACTCTTAGGGATGGAGAGGGAGGAGGAGAGGGAGTGGGGGAAGTGGGAGGGTGTTGGGAGGAGGGGTGGAAATGGAAACTTTTATAATTTAATAAACTTTTAAAAAAAAGAAAACATGAACTTTAATCTGTTTATTTTGGCAACCTTTCTGAATATCTAATACACTGTTATATTACATCTTTCTTATGTGTCTTTTTTTTTTCCAACAGGATTGTTATGTAGGATCTTGCAATGCTTTAGACTAAGGCCATGAGCAAAATGAGCTTACATTTACAAACTAAATAAAAACAGAGGTTAGTTATTGCACATGACCCTGCCCTCCCCCCAAGTTCGCCCTTTTGTGTGTGTGGTCCTTGCACTAACAGGAGTCCCTGTTCACAGGATCATGAGGAGATCCATTCAGACAGCCTGCCCTATTGTCTGTGAGGTCCTTGGCCCAGGAATAGTTCCTGCTCCTGCACTGAGGAGATCCACCCAGAGAGTCAGTCACAGCAAAGATTGAACCAAGACACCAAGACTCTCCTGGCTTCATTTGAAGAAAGAGATGGGCAGGTGCCAATGCGAGAATTCCTCGAACAACCTGAAAGGCATCATGACAACACCAGATTCCAGGGATCACGCAACAAGATGACTTAAACACCCTATTCCAGAAGAAGTAGAAGAAATCGACTTTAAATGTAACATTATGAAAATTAAAATAGAGAACCTTAAACAGGATAAGAAAAATGTTTTAAAGAAATGAAGAAGACAAACAAAAAGGTAGAAGAAATGAATAAATCTCTCAAAGATACCCCAAGACTTGAAAAATGAAATGGAGGTAATGAAGAAAACACAAACCGAGGGAAGGTCAGATAGAGGCAACACAATTCAGCTTTTGATTCCTGCAGGACTGAGTAGAAATTGGAATAGTATAACTCAGTAGGCCCTCAGCATCCCACAATTTCTATATACATAAAATTGATGGCACAATTGGATAATAAAGAAATCTACTGTTGTACAATGACATGTCCAGTGGCTGCTTTCCCCCAGACTATTTTTAGGCATTAACAAAGACAGAAAAAAAGAGAAATCTTGACACTTACACCTGGAATAAAACTCCTGGCTACTATGCCTTTTGTTTATTGATATTGCAGTACCCCTCAGCTTGTTCAATTTCTTGTACAGTGTAAATCAAACTACATATCTCTATTGAACAAAACAATGAACCTTATGAATGAAATCAAGGAGTGTAATAAGGAATTATATTTCATGTACACAGGAGGGAAGACTTAATATTGTCAAGTATCAGTTCTTGCCAGCTTGATCTGTAGACTCAAGGAAATACCAGTTAAAGTGCATGTACTTTCATTTGTTTGTTTTGATTGGCAGACCGATCAAGGATAGCTAAGTTAATTTTGATTAGAAACAATGCTCAAGAGCACTTGCTATGCAACTTCCAAACTTATATAAAGGAATGATAATCATAGCTATGGAATCATAATCAAATCAGTGGGCATAGTTATTATGACAATAGATATAGTCATCAAGATAGTATGTAAAGTCATCATGACAGAATGTACAGTGGGTATAGTCAACATAGCATTGCCATAGTTATAACACAACAGTGTGCAGTGTAAAGACAACAGTGGACTAGTCATCACTACAGTAGACCAGTCCTTGAATTAGTCATCATGAGATTGGGCTAGTCATCATGACAATGGACTAGTAATTACCACAACAGACTAGTCATCATAGCAATGTGCTGTGTAAACATGGCAGCATACTAGCTGCCATAGCAGTGGGAAGCCAATTAGTCCAGACACAAGGCCACAGAAATAAAGTAAATTAATCTTTCACAAAGGAACTACAACAATGGAAAAATGTCATTTTTTTCAACTAATGATGAGTGCAGGATGGAAGATATGAGGATTCGCGAGTTTTTGCTTAATTTTTGTGCAAGTTGAAAGCTTCGTGAAGGAGGAGAAGAAAGAAAGGGGCTTAATGATTCAAAGTAAAGAAAGAAAATTTAAAAACAGAACCAAAACCAGAAAGGCGGGAAAATAGTATTACATAATCTTTTTCGACAGCAGGTAAGTCTTAGTTTTAAGTTCATGGACTTGCCTATTTGGGTCTAAATGAATAGTAATCAAGATTGGGAAAACCCATAACTTGTAGTAAATTAGCTACAACACATAAATATAAGGAATTAAGTAGCTAGAAAGAAACCACCAAAAAATCCCATGTGCTCAGCACAAAAGAAAAATCTCAGCAATCACAATTCATAAAAAGTATTCTAAATAGCACTGATACGAGTAAAAACACAAAAACATAAGTATCTTATTTACAATGTAACTCTCATTCCCACCATTTCCCAGTCCACCTGCAAAATATAGAACAGGTAGGATCAGGATGGGTGGGAGATGGAGCAAGAGAGTACTCGGAAGACAACTGGAATCAGGGAGTATTTGGGGGAGATGTGGAAACTTAGTGCAGTAGAAATTCCCTGGGCTATGCCACAAAGACACCTAGTAAAGTACCAAAGGCTATACCAGCCATCTTGTATAACTGGACTAGGCTTCCAATGGTGAGACAGAGACATCAACCCATTCACAAAACATTCAACCTACAGTGTGTCCTGCTTACAAAGTCTAAAAACTTGTTGGGAATGTCAACCAATGTGTGGTCTAACTTGAAGCCTACACTTGGAGAGGGCGCTCACACCTAATATGGCATAGATGGCCATAAACCAGAGGCTGCATAGCCCAGGGGACTAGAATAGGATCAAACATGACAGGAAAAAATAGTAAATTACATAGTTCTTAATGATATTCTGCTATACTCATAGATCGGTCACTAGCTCAGTTATCATCAGAGAGACTTCATCCTGTAACTGATAGAAGCAGATGCCATGAGCAACTGGGGCAGATCTCACGGAATTCCATCAAAGAGGGGGAGAAAAGGTTGCAGACACCAGAGGGGTTGAGAGTACCACAAGAACATAGACTACAGTCAATTAAGCAGGATTCATAGGGGATCATAGAGCTTGAAGTGGCAATAATATTATCTTTATGGATCTGAGGTGGGTCCTCAGCATATATGTTATGGTTGTGTAACTTAGTGTTCTTGTGGGACTCCTAACAGTAGGAGGTATCTCTGACTCTTTTGCGTCTCTCTTGGGACCCTTTTCCTCCTACTGGTTTGCTTCTCCCAGTCTTGATATGATGGTTTATGACTAGTCTTATTATAACTTATTACGCCATGTTTGGTTGATATCCCTGGAAGGCCTACTCTTTTCTTAACAGAGAAGTGGATCTGCACAAGAGGGGACATGGGGAGTGGAGTGGAAGGAATGGATGGAGAGAAAGCTGTGGTCAGGATGTAACATATGAAAAAAGAATAAATTAAAATGAAAGAAAGAAAGAAAGCAAAAAGAAAGAAAGAATAAGAGAGCATAGCTCATTGAGGTGATCAGTAATAACTCATTGAGGTTATAGGTACAGGCTGGTCCAAATGTCCATCGTATGCATGTTCTACGTTAATAGCAGTAATCCCACAGCACTGCAGTGGAGGTTCCCTAAGGCTTTGCCCCAGTCACACTGGAGCCATTGAGAAAACACTGCCCTCATCTCATGGCAGCTCCTTGACATTGGATTTCCTAGTCTTCATCACTGTGAGCAGATACATTTCTATAATTGTGAATCATGCAGTCCATGGCACAAGACTGTCAACGTTATTGAACGAGATAAGTGTCTTTTATTCTGATATCCTATGACGGAAATTGCCCCTCTATCACCTTTTTTTCTTTATCATGGTTGTCTTCTTAGCTTCCCAGGCTCAAGATTTCTAAATCACAGCTAGCTCACCATGAAGGTGCTGCTGGTTAAAAGCAAAGCTGCTGCTACTCAAGTAATACACCAAAGACAGTTAACATCATTGGAACCATAACACTACATGGGTTAGCCTAATTAAACCAATACATTTAATATAGAAAAGTAATCAAAACTAATGACTGTTTACTTTAAATAATTAGTAAATTACTTAAAAGGAAAATAATAAGAGTGGGGAGAACCTTCGAAGCCAGAAAAGTGAAGAATCATAATTATGAGGTCCTGAGTTCAGATGTTCAGAAGGAAAGTAAAAAGGCAAGGGTGGTGGCGCTCACATAACCTTAGCTCTGGGAAGACAGAGACCAGCAGATTCCTGGAGTTTGCTATGCAGCAAGTTTGGCCCACCAGGCTAAGTTCCAGGCTAAGTTCCAGAGCCACTGCCTCAAACAAAAGATGGGAAATGGCTGGGGAACAACACTCACTCACTCATTTCATTTAGTTATATTTAGAATGACTCACGTATGTCAAAATGCGAGAATTAGAGGGAAAAGAAGAGTGAGAAGAGTAGTGTTGCAGAGAAATGGCTTCCAAGGCTTCAGTAAATAAATGGGATATTTTTTTTCCAACAGAATCCCAAAATTTCACACTTATTCTTTGACTTATTATGAAGATTAGAGGTGTAAAGAGAGCACAACAAAGGAAAACAGTGAATGATCCCTCTATAACGGAAAACAACATTCACTTCCTAAGAAGGGAAATTGAAAAGAAGAGAAACATGGTAGAGACCACAAAACTACAAGGTGAATGTACAGCTGGCAGATCTATCAGACTAATCCATCAGAAGTGTATATGGACATAACCACATGGGAAAACCCCTTCAGCAGAGCTGAGTGAACACTTGTCTTTTGGAGAAGTCACTGGCAATTCTGTAAAAACTTTTTGAAGCCATGATTCTCCCTTCAAAATGGGATTATCTCCCCAAATACCTCATCACTGTAACTTCCTCCTCTTGCCTGGGCAAAGGAATGATCTTCTATGTGACCTTATAGCAATAATATTCACTCTTTGTTCTAAGAGTCAGATTTACATAGAGTCAGCCTGTCACAATTACCCTTGCTAAGAGACCCAAGTAGGAATTGCAAAAAGATAGAAATACCTTACCAGATAAACAGGTCTGGGTTCACAGTCCAAGGTTCAGGGACATTTAGTAACCTTATCTAATGGTTTGTAATGTCAGGTATTTCCCCCTTGAAACTGAACCCTCTCGGGTGGTGCCACCCACTTCCTGGAGTGATGCTTTGTCAGGTTCTACCTGCCACTTTTGTGATTCTGAAATGCATATCATTATTTTCTTTGACTAAGGAATTCTAACCATGCCTGTAAAAGCTAAATATCATATTGTCTTTGACTATGAAATTCTTCTAACCATGCCTGTAAAAGCTAAAAACCTGGTGGAGATCACCCCCCTATTTTTCTCTCTCACTGTTTCTTTGCCCAAGGAATAAAGAACATGTAGAGGTAACATATGTGAGTTGATTTATTCCATTTACCCTCAGACCCAATTAGCCAAGTTTTCTCTTGCCATAGAGAAACTTAGCTAGACCCTTAGAGGGTGCTGAGGCTGGTACGCAAAGCTCCCAATAGAAACAGAAAAACAAATATTTAAAAAGAAAATT